TCCACTTACATAAGATTATTAAAATACTGATTGCCTTTCATTATTATAAAGTAAACCAAAGATTATAATGGTTTTACTTTTTTTATAAATATATTTGGATTAATATAAGTGGGCAACAAAAAGTTACAACAGGGTGTACTTACTCCTCAATGAAAATTGTAGCCACCCCACTCCAGTCCCGAGCACTAACAAGTATTTCATGACCATGAAGAGTGTTCAATCCTTGTTGGGCTGATTTAGGATGCCTTGCCATTTGCTTTTCCTCCAAAATTTTGTTGTTATACTTTGAGGCGGTTTCCCCAAACCTGCTTAGGCATAGGACACATTTTCGGTAGGTTTCCCCAAATCTGGTTAGATATACATCTTAGGAATTTATCACACGGGGGAAATCTATAGTTTATCCCATACAAATCCTGAAAAAAATGCATAATTACGTGCAACGATTTCACATGACGTCACACAAAAACTGCTATTAAAGTGGTCAGAAAGTGGTGTTATTCCAGATCTTTTTACTTTCGGGATTTTAGTGAAAATGCATTTTCGATATTACAGTAATTGCACACTTACTCTAGTGTGAAAGTTAAATTCGATTTATTCACACAATAACCCTCCTTTAATTCTTTTTTCCATATTTCCCATGGTTCTGTGGAGCTGCTTTTACTTCCTGTTTTGCTTGGGCGACAAACATGCCAGGCAAACATGAGCCTCTCTACTTTCTCTTTCTGCGCATGTGCAAGTATACTGTTTTTAGTACATTTACGGATTTCTTTCACTTCTGTATGTAATGTAAAAACGCCTTTTTATCGCTTTTTGCGTTGTTTCGCATTTATTCTATTTACGTGTGAAATTCATTTGTGTGATCAAGTTCTGTTTTCACTTTATTTTTGGGATGGTTTATTTGCGCTTTATTATCTTTTCAAAGACGAATCTGGCCCCCGTGTGATAAAGTCCTTAGACATGGGAGGTACTGCTTTGGCTGCTTACGTGCAAACTCAGTACTGGAAGCAGAGGGAATTATTTTCCTTGAAAATGGATTCTAATAATTGATGGCCACCATTTTCTTTAAAATCACGTATTTTCTGTTGCTCATTCTTTGCTCAAACCAAGAAAATCCAACAAATGCTGCGCTCAGCGAAGGACAGGAGA